ATAGTGGCTGGGGGGTCCCCCTGGGAGGGCCGCCGGCAAACAGATGTGTCAGTACCAAGGGGTTTTGGTTGGAGACCTGGAGCACCCACCCGCTTCAGCCAAGGGCGATCAGTCCCAGGAGGGCGCCGGCCAGAGGATACTCACTCCTCCACGGTGAAGCAGACCAGGCGCCGGCGTAGGCCCGTGGCCCGCTGCTTCTCCAGGGCCTCGCGCCCCAGGAAAGGCACAGGGGACTTGAGCTTGCAGGTGAAGGCCAAGCCTGCCTCCAGGGGGCTGTCATCGGGCCGCAGGTCTGCATGCCAGTGCCGGTAGCCTGTGGGGGTAGAGGGGAGCACAGGTCAGTGCTCGGTGGAGGTGGGGCCAAGCCTTCGGGAGACATGTGTGGACACTGACCAGACCCACCCACCTCTGTCCCCACGTGCCCCCACCTCTGCAGAGGTGCTCAGTGACCTGGGAAGGGGGCAGGACATCCTCGACTCCAGAAGGTTCCCCCGAGTGAGCTCCTGCAGCAGACTGCCCCCCCCCAACATCCCAGCCCTCTGCCCATTCGAGGTTGGGGTACCAGGAAGGGGTGCACAAAGGGAGGTCTGGGGCTGCCGAGCACCCTGGGAGCCTCCACTGCTCTCCGTGGAGGATGGGGCAGGGTCTCCTGAGGCTCCAGTATCCCGATTTTGTTTTTCAGGGGACCAAGGTGCTTAAGTCACACCTAGCTCTGGCTCTCCCTGTCCCCGTGACACCAGCACACCCAGGGCGTCCATGGCCATCCCGGCACCATCTTGGGCTGTGTGAGGAAGGTCTGGCTGCTGGCCGTGAGGAGGGCAGGGAAGAGGAGCCGAGTGTGGAGGGCGGGCAGCTGCCCAGCCTGGGTGCCCGGGCTCCAGGCTGTGCTCTCACCTTTCTCGATGCTCAGGGAGTCGATGGCACGGTACCCTGCGTTGACAAGGCCGTGCTTGGCACCTGCCGCCATCACAGCCCGGTACACCGGCACACAGGCCTCCCGGGGGATGTGCAGCTCCCAGCCCAGCTCCCCCACGAAGGACAGCCTCATGGCCCGGACCTGAGGGGGTGAAGGCACAGCTTAGACACACCAGGACCTGACGGTATGATGCAGCCCCCACTCCGGTGTAGCTTCTGCTGACACATTATCATTGGCCTGGCCCTCGGCTAGTCTCCATGGGGACATGGGGTCTTCCAAGGACAGTCCACATGAGCCGCTCTAGAATTCTTCAAGATGAGGAAAGGGCAGTCAGCGTAGGGACCCAGGGAGGGCCGCAGCGCAGGGGCCCAGGGAGGGCCGCAGCGCAGGGGCCCAGGGAGGGCCGCAGTGTAGGGACACAAGGAGGGCCACCAGGAGCAGGCCTTGGCCCTTCTGAGTGCCTGCACGGGCTTCCCATCTGCTGCGGCAAGTGACCTCAAACTTGGTGGCATCCAACACAGAGAAGACTCTCTTAGCTCTGGAGGCCAGAAGTCCAAAACCAAGGGGTGGGAGGCCCAGGCCCACCAGCTTATCGAGTTGCTCCCACCTGTGCCTCCACTTTCACGTGGCCTGTTCTGTCTGTGTCGCCTCTTCCGTCTCTTATGCAGACCCTGGTCTCTGGATTCAGGACCCACCCTAATCCTGGATACACCCGTCTCGAAGTCTTGACCCGAATTCCACTGGCAAAGATCCTATTTCCCAAGCTGGCCAGTCACAGGTTTGGGTACTAGGATGTGGACATGGCTTTGCAGGGCACCGGTCAGTCCACCGCAGTGATCTTGGGCAAGCCTCTCAGCTCTTCGGCCTTGACTTCCTTGTCTGTAAAATGGGGTCCCGAGCCCTGGCTTTCTCTCTTTTAAGGAGCTCTGAGGTGCGTCTGCGAGGGAACAGCGGCATGGCTCAAGAGGCACCTAGAGGCTCCCAGAAGGGAGGCAGTGCCGAGCGCATCGTCCCAGAAGGCGGTCTCCGACCCAGGCCAGGCACTGGGCTCTGAGACAGACACGGCCTCTGCCCCTCAGGGCCTGAGTCTCCGAAGCACTCGGTGTACCCATCACCACATTCTGGGTGGGCAAAGCACGGTGCCTCCTGCTGAGGAGAGGAGATTCAACCCCACATGTTCATTTTGGGGCCTGTCACACACACCCCGCAGTCAACACCCACGTCCGGCCTCCAGGCAAACCCCTGAACCAACACTGTGCCCACAGGGCACCTCAGTGGGCACCCGCAGCCCCGGACCACCGAGCTCACGAAAGGGACGTGGAAAGCCGGGTGATCCGTGAGCACCTGGAGGCCAGGCTGGTTCTCCTCCTGCTCAGAGCCCAAAGACCTGCCCTGCGCAGCTCCCGCCGGGGCAGTGTCTGTGCAGGAGGGCAGAGGCCGCGCCCCCAACCACAGAACCAGCTCCTCATAAATCTGGCACTTGAATCACACCACCGCCAAGGGACTGGGCTCTAAAACGCTTTTGAAGCAGCGCAAATTTGCTCTGAGTTGCCATTTGCCCAGGTCTCTCAAAAAACTCAAAACTGACACAGAAATCGTGCTGTTGACATTCCCCCGCTTCCCTGGTGCAAGCCGTAGGCCTGACAGAGATCTCCTTGTCAACAGGGCTCTAATTTTAGACCGCCTGCGGGGGGGTATGTGGCTCAAAGCCAAGCTCATTTTGAAATAGGAAAAATAATTTTTAAAATGTACCCATTAAAAACACGATCGTGGATTCCTGCCCAGCTGCCCACTCCTCACTCAGCTGAAGGAGGGGTGTAGCTGTTGTGTGCACCAGACTCCCGGCGGCTCCAGGAGGCTGCGGCAGCTGCAGTACATCTGGGCCTCCACCATCTCGCTGTGCAGTCCAGCCCACGGAAGGTGTGGGGAAACAGTCCCTGATCCAAAGAGGAATCTGAGGACAGTCCTCTGCTTCCCAGCAAGAAGGGAGAGTTTGGGGAATTCTGGATGCCTTTCCGAGGTCACAGAACCACCAGTTCCAGAGACAGCTTGCATTTTCCTCCACTGAAGCAGCCTGGGAGAGGGCCTTGCTTCTTCCAAGTGGGGACCCATCAGGAGGGGGA